AGACTAGAGTCCTTTTCTGCCAAATCCAGAATAAAAGAAATTAGCAAAGAATATCCTTGCTTAAAGTGGCCGGATGTTGTAAGTAAGTTCGGTTAGGCTAGTAATAATTACAATATAACTGACACGTAATATCTTATCTTTTAGCTAATGGAGGAGCTCACAATCCATCTCGAGCACGATTACAAAAAAAAATTCACACCGCAGGAACTGATTTTAAACTGGGTCAAGAACCTTCCACATCTAAGGATGTATCTAAACAACTACTTAGAGGAGAACGACGACTCGCATGGTAAATTACACTATGTTGACACTGCAATACGCCCCAAATATCCAATTAGAATTAAATTCAGTGTATATTGTTACATTCAGATAAAGATCAAGAGCTCCCAGAGGAGGTAGTGCTGATGTCATTGCCCACTCTATTTTCCACTAAATCGCCTCGTGCCAGGAAGGCAATGGGCTCTAAAGGAGCAAAGGACTTGACCAAGCACTTTGTGTATATTCTTGGGGTAAGTTTTCAGCGTAACGCGCGTTTATGATCAGACTGAAAAAGATTGATGACCGAAATGCTCATGAGAAGTGTCCGCTGAAAAATAATGTACATCGTTGTTTCTTTTTCATATAGGAAAATGACAGCTTGACGGATATTCCTAAAGACATGACGTCGCCGTTTTTGTTGTGTCGTATAAAGGAGGCAGGGGGGGTGGAAACAATAATGGTCATGGAAAACAGCAAGAACACGTATTTGACGTTAGAGGCGACAGAGGCATCGGGTAGTGAGAGCATTGTAGGCAAAAGTGTCATATGCCTAATGGCTATGTACTTTGTCTACATGCTCCATTATCCCGATGCCGTCAAGAACTCATTCTACTTCTTGCAGCAATATGTACTTGGCATTGAGGACTTGCCGGCTCGTTCAACAGTGCAATATCAAAACGAGGTCCAAAAATATCTGAAGTTCCTGCATAACCAACAGTAGCTGAAAAGTCTGAACCACTTCTCGATCGGTCACTATGGAATTGTAAATAGTTACACACAATAACACGAATCATGTCGACAATAAACTTACATGAATTGTCGTACAACCAACAGTAGATGAAAAGTCTGAACCACTTCTCGATCGGTCACTATGGAATTGTAAATAGTTACACACAATAACACGAATCATGTCCACAATAAACTATGAATTGTCGTAGTCATTTTTGTACTGTACATTGTTTTATTATTATAAAAAAGTAGACTCCGTAGCAGAAGCATGTCCAAGCGGCGGTTCGATTCTCTAAAAAACTGCGTGAGAGAACGGAACCGCTTGGAATGTATGCTACGGAGGCTAAGGATCCCGGCCCGATTCTGGAATGAACACTTTCTAAGCCATTTTTTCTCTTTTTGTAACTGTAAAATATACTTTCTTCTTTTTTTCTAAAATGTGGAGTCGCCTTCCATCCATGTTTGAAATTCTCAGAGTATAATGCAATGATAAAAATGTTAAGAAGAAATGATAGCGGTGAAAAGAATCTATCGGAACTATATATAATGGCTAAATAAGTGATTACCTTCATATATATAACCAGAAACCTATAACAAAAACATTTTAAGGCTTAAAATGTTTAACCGAGCAAGTTAGTGGCTTAAAATGGTTTGTTATATATATCAAGATAATGGCTTAATATGCAGTCATCTAAACCCCCGAATCTATCGAATCAATCACGCGGCGCTGATAAAACAGTTCCACAAACAAATTCTATACGCTTTACGTGGCAACATGGCGGAGACCGTGTGTTAAAAAACGAAGTAGTTCTCGTTTTGAAATGATATTAAAACTCTCTAAATTAGATGGAACTACATCATAATATTCAGCGAAGCACTGAAAAGGAAAAATGAAAGGCTTCATTTTAGAATATGCAATCTTATGTATTCAAAAAAAGTTGTTGGGTAGAGCGGTGCCGGAATCACTCAACGGTCTATATTAGTGGCTTCTACATCAGTAGCTCACCTGAGAGAGATCAAGTATAAATTACTTAACAAGCTCCCGATGTTTAGTTGTATTCATTTGTGATGGAGTCCAAATTAAAACAGACCGTTAAAAATGACTCCTCGACGGCATCTTTATCTTTAAGAACATGCATAATCTGAATGTGAGAATGCCGCCAATGTTATGCAAGGTATTGTTGAACAACTTTGTGAATGTTTGAAAAGCTTTCATGATCGGATAGACATACTTCAGCGGGTAATGCAAGGGAATATAGATTTCAAGGTAAGAGGTTCGAATCTACGTAGATTACATAAAATTGAATTTATAGTCTATAAATATGGTAATATCTTTATTCAATGAATTGTTGTTAACTTGTTGTTATCAAAAGCACTTCATCGGCACAAGGTAATATATAGACAAGAAAACTATAAAGTATAATATAATATTAAAATATGATAATGACATGTAATATGCAAGTAATAATATGGATTTGACAGCATACATTCATATCATTAATCATCAATGAACAGAGAACAATAAAAGCAAGTATTTTTTAATTGTGTTTGTTGTTGTTTATTCCTTTTTGTGTGGTAGTGTTTTTTTGCACTTGAACAAAGCGTCATTGTGACCTTGCTTTAAGAGTATCTGCACTCAATCCTAGTGTTTTTTGCACTTGTTTAAAGCGTGATGTTCACTTATTGTAAGGGTTATCTGCGCTCGTTGCTAGCGTTTTTTGCACTTGAACAAAGTGTCATGTTGACCTAGTTTTAAGGGTGTCTGCGCTTCATTAAAGTGTAATGGTTTTCTTGTTTTAAGGGAATTGGTACTTGACCCAGCGACCTAGGTTCAAGTGATTTGCACTTAACCCAAGTGTTTCTTGAACTTGATTTAAGTGATCTCTTTTTACAGTGCGGATAACCGTTAAAGTGGCGAGGTTTCAAATGATGGAGGATCGCAAAGACCTATGGGATCGTAATATGAGGAGCTCATCACCAGGTCCTCTGCTGGTCCTCTGTATTATTTCATTATTTTATTTTATTTTATTATTTTGTGGTGTTTTTTATGGTATTTAATCTGGCCACGAGTCATTCCGACTTGAATACTTTTGTAAATCATCGCAAACTTGTATGCGGTTTCATCTTCGAACGAATTTGACTCAAATATTCGCCCTTTTGCATGCGGTACAGTACTGAATTCCCCAGTTNTTTGCACTTGAACAAAGCGTCATTGTGACCTTGCTTTAAGAGTGTCTGCACTCGTTGCTAGTGTTTTTTGCACTTGAACAAAGCGTCATTGTGACCTTGCTTTAAGAGTGTCTGCACTCGTTGCTAGTGTTTTTTGCACTTGAACAAAGCGTCATTGTGACCTTGCTTTAAGAGTGTCTGCACTCGTTGCTAGTGTTTTTTGCACTTGAACAAAGCGTCATTGTGACCTTGCTTTAAGAGTATGTGCACTCGTTGCTAGTGTTTTTTGCACTTGTTTAAAGCGTCATTGTGACCTTGCTTTAAGAATATCTGCACTCGTTGCTAGTGTTTTTTGCACTTGAACAAAGCGTCATTGTGACCTTGCTTTAAGAGTGTCTGCACTCGTTGCTAGTGTTTTTTGCACTTGAACAAAGCGTCATTGTGACCTTGCTTTAAGAGTATCTGCACTCAATCCTAGTGTTTTTTGCACTTGTTTAAAGCGTGATGTTCACTTATTGTAAGGGTTATCTGCGCTCGTTGCTAGCGTTTTTTGCACTTGAACAAAGTGTCATGTTGACCTAGTTTTAAGGGTGTCTGCGCTTCATTAAAGTGTAATGGTTTTCTTGTTTTAAGGGAATTGGTACTTGACCCAGCGACCTAGGTTCAAGTGATTTGCACTTAACCCAAGTGTTTCTTGAACTTGATTTAAGTGATCTCTTTTTACAGTG